TCCCTTCTTCCCTCCCTTCCTCCCTTCTTCCCTCTTTTTTGACAGTCTCAGATAGTCCAGGATGGCTTTGGACTCATCCTCCTGCCTCAATTCCCTAAATCCTGGAATTACAGGCATATGCCACCATGCCTGGTTTAATGGTTCCTTTTTAGCAAGTGGTAGCTTGCTGGTTTGCCCCTCACACCGGCTGCCCTGGGGGAGATGACATGGGTGATGCTGCATGGGCCCTTTGCTGGGAAATATCTCTTTAGCCCGGAACAGGCTGCTGAACACCTGAAGGCTGCAGGGATGGAAGAGGCTGTGGAGGAGGAGGAGGGTCTCAGGCAGGCTAGGCAGGGAGAAGAGCGGAAGCTCAGAGGAGTTCGCTTTGCTGGAGGGATACTTTCTCCGGCTGCTTCCCCCAGCAATGCCCACAGGGAGCCTGACAGGGTGTCCACTTGGATGCCCAGGGCATTGCACTTGGGGAAGAAAACAGGTCTTTGGAGCCAGTTCACACCCCTCTGTTCCATGGACACATGGCATGCCCACTCTTGATCCTGATGCTTCCCAGCTCAGGCTCCTGCTGGGGCAACCCGGAGGGTCTCTTCAGCATTTCTCTCCCCGATTCTTTTTTATTACCGAGGGCCCTTGAAGAGCTGGGATGTGAGGAAAACGTTAGGTGGGCCACAGATGCTGACCTGTCTATCATTACTTCACATATGCAGTCAAGTCCAGTTTTCCTACTGAAATTAATGTACCTTCCCCTTTATTTTCCAAAGCTTGTCTGCTTGGGATTGTGGAAGAGGAGTTTAGACAAACCCAGGAAGAACTAGCTTTATGTGCAAATCAGACTGAAAGTCCCTCCCTTTTCTCCCCACAGGGGAAAGTGGAAGTAGAAGCCGGGAAGGAAGGCATGAAGTTCGAAGCCAGCGCCTTTTCATACTACGGTGTGATGGCCCTCACAGCCTCTCCAGGTGCGTGGAAGATTTGACCCTCCTCCCGTCAGTCCTCCCTGTGCCCCGCTGATGTTCTCCTTGACGAGTACTCTAGAGACAGAAGCTCAAGTGTTTACCTTCATAGCTCTCCACACACACCCAACACAACTGTGCAGACCCGGGGTGCCCCATGAGCCCTCTCTCCCTCCTTGAACTTTGTGTAAATGGACCCACAGGGATTGCAGCGGGTTGAGTGAGGCTTCCCCCGCCCAGTGCTGTGTTCTGTGCAGTTGTGTTTCATCCCTCTTCCCTCCTGTGAACAGAGAGCTCTGCACTAGCTTCTTGTTGCCAGTAGGTGCTAGGGCAGTGTGTTGTAACTTCCCTTATTGTTTTGGCAAAATGTGTGACAAAGGCAGCTTGAGGAAGGAAGGTTTATATTATGGTTTGAGACTTTCATGGTGGGAAGACTGTGTGGCAGGGGCACGTGGCAGCTGGTGACACTGGAAGAAACGAATGCTGTGCTCACATCACTGTCTCACTCAGCCTGTGGATGGCGTCCCACACGTGTCTCCGTCCAGTTACACCTCCCTGGACATACCCTCATAGACACCAGAAGTGTGTTTCCATGGTGATTGTAAACCCAGGAGTTGGCACTTAGAATAGCCATCACAGGCTGTTTCCTGTGAAAATGCCACGTCTTCTGGGTCAGCTTCAGCACTTCCCAGGAGTTTAGTACTTCTCAGAGCATCCTCCTGCCCATTGTGGGAAGTGCTCCCATCTCCACCCAAAGTCTGAGCTGTATTTAGTAGCTGTCCTGGGGGTTTCCCGTTGCAGCTTCTTGACAATGCAACAGTTTGCTACTGTCCACCTAGAGAGTGGGCTGTTTGGGGGGGGGGATGCCATGGAGAATTGAGCGAGTTCTCTGAGATTCTGAGAGGCCTAAAGGTCACCTGTCCAGCAAAAGTGTCTGCATCCAACTCTGCTGTGTTCCCAACCCCTCTGTCTCTAGCATTGCTTGCTTGCCTTCTCCGGCCAGGAGCAGGTCAAGCAGGTAAACAGAGGTGCTGGAGTGCCACCTTGTGGCCAAAATATAAAAGAATTTTTTGGTTTTTGTTTTTTTTTAAAGCAGGGTTTCTCTGTGTACTTTTGGAGCCTGTCCTGGAACTCACTCTGTAGACCAGACTGGCCTCGAACTCACAGAGATCCGCCTTCCTCTGAGTCCTGGGACTAAAGGCATGCGCCACCCCAGCCTGGCTCTAAAAGAACATTCTGTACAAGGAGGCCGTCACAAAGCCCAAAGCTAACCATAACCCACCTTAAAGGAAGGCTATCAAACCGGGGAAACAAACCTTAACAGGGGTGGGGACCTTCAGGCAAGTCTGTCTTTGTGACATTGGTCTTCCCCTACTGTCCCACCCAGCAGTGTGATGGACGTAAGATGTTACCACTAGAACCCAGTGAACTCACTGTCCTATGCAGGTTTTACAGTCCTAAGGCCACACTGCCCCACTGTCACCACACATGGATGTCCCCAGTCTTTGTGGTAAACTTGAAGGTGATCTTCCTCTCCACTGCTTGGTGACATCGGAGAGGGGTTTGTGACTGGACGTGGAAAGACAGGGGTCACAGCTCAAGATGAAGGTTGTGTGGTGGTGAGAAAAGGCCGCTGGTGCCTCTAGTAACAAGAGAGCTGAATGGGTGCTGTGTATGCAGGGTGTTGTGACCCCTAAAATACAAAGGATCCCAGAAGGCAGAGGCAGGAGGATTGCTACAAGTTCAGGGTCAGTGTTGAGCTTTAAATCAATTAGTTCTACAAAGCAAGGCCTGTCTCAAAGGTAAAAGCAAACAGAGGGAAGCCAACAACAAAACCAAAGAGGAAATGTTACAGCACAAAAAGGGTCATCATTGGTTAGCCCCGGTTAGCAGACGTACACCTACAGGGTAGCTCTGAACAGAAGTGAGAACATCACGGTTTTGCTGAGTACTGGCTATTCAACCTAAACACTGGCTCAGCACATAGTGTAAGGAAAATCCCATTCAGAAAAAGTCAGCAAAAAGCCTGGCCTGGGGTGATGGGCACGCCTCTAGTGACAGCAGGTGGGGGAGGAGGAGGGAGGACCAAGAGTTGAGGCTAGCCTGAGCTATGTAGTGAGTTGAGGCCAGCCCTAGACTACAGGAGACCTTTAAACCAACCAAAACAACAAAGAAGCCAGCCAAGAGCCGAGTCCTCACCAGGAAGCCCCCACTGTTGGTTTCAAAGGCTGCTGTTTACTGACACTCATGACCAGGATCTGGGAGCTGTGTATTCATTGAGATGCACAATTAATACAGGTGTGGCCACATTAAGACCTGCCTGTGTCTGTTCAGGTTAGTTGTGGGCCTGGTGAAATCCATCAGCAGGTCAAGGGGCTTGTGGCCCAGCCTCATGACCTGAGTTCAAGTCCTGGCATCCACATAATGGAAAGAAAGAACGGTTTCCCACAAGTTTCCCTCTTCTCCACATATGTGCCATGGGACACGCACACGCACACAAATAAATGAAAAATCAGTTGTCCACTAGGGAAACAGAGGCAGAAAGAGTCAGTTGTCCACTAGGAAAACAGTCTGTGAGCTGAAGCCAGACTGACCTACATAGCAAGTCCAGCCAGGGCTATATGTTGAGACCTTGTTTCAAAACCAAGAAATCAAATAAAGCCAGTGATCTGGGCAAAGCCGCCAGGCCTTGGTTCTCAGGACTGTGGGAAAGCATGCCCCATGTCCCATGCCCCATGGCCTGCCCTTGGGGTTTTCCCCATGGTGTGGCTAGTCTCCCATCTGAGTGAGCAACCATGAGCCTCACCTTTGTCTACCATTCTCAGGCAGCCTGAATATGGCATTCTACACATTTGCCTGTTTTGAAATATGCAATCATCATCCCAAGCAATTCAAAACATCAGGCCAGAATTATGAAACCAAGAATAGCAATGAGTTGGGTAACTAAGGGCTTGCTAGGTTGCATGGTGAGTGCTGGAGTGTGGCTTAGGCCTATTCTTAGAGCCCACACCGGCTGCACCTCCAGTTATATGGGGCTGATTGTGGCCTGGGCCTTGAGAGAAGCTTGTTTCAGGACTGTGGGCCCCATTTGGGTACTGGAGGGAGGGTGGCGTTAAGAACTTTCCAGAAAAGAGCACAAGAAGGAGATTCTTCACGATGTCACATTCTCTGCCTTGCTCTTCCTGGAAAGTCATTTGTGTCCCTTCCGTTACATAACACCACATGGGCTTTAGCACTTCCGGGTGGAATGCTCATGCTAGTGAGACATCGTCCACTCCTGATCCTTGGATGTGAATATCTCTCTCTGACTTTCCATGCCATCTCACCCTGTTTTTCTCCATTTTCAGTTCCTTTGTCCCTGTCTCGTACCTTTGTTGTCAGCAGGACAGAGGTGTTAGCGGCAGGCTCTCCAGGTAATTCTGCATGCTTCCTTTTTGTAACCCCATTGCTCACCTACCTTGACCCTGGGAAGCCTGGCCACCAGGGCTGCCCACTCTGTTTCCACAACGCTGTTCCTGTTTCCTGTCAGCCCTAAGAGGGAGCTGTCCAGGGAAACATAAGCCACGGAGGGCTGGAAAGGAACTCTGGGCTAGGAACCCAGGTGACCAGGGGTAGGGAGAGTGGCTATGGTGACTGTCCAGTGCCCATCCTGCATGCACTGGCCTGCACCACTCAGGTCTGCCCAGAGTCTTACTCCATCTTCAGCAATTATGAGAAATGGACTTGCAGAGACCTGAGGGCCTCAGAACCCAAGTCCAGACTGTTCTTATTTCCTGGAGAATCCATTTGGACAAAATCTTGAGGGAGTATGCACTTTTCTTGGCAAGTGAGAAAAAGCTGCCGTCGTCGTCCTGAGTTGGGGACCTTTCTGGCTGATAATATCTATCTCTGCTGTTCGGGCAGATGGCCCTGCTGCCCGGTCTCACCGTTGTTTTGGAATCAGTGCCGTGCACATTCCTAACCAGAAGCAGATTACCCCCTGCAGGGGGGCATGCCCAGCCACTGAAAAGAGAGGTTTTAATCTTTCTTTAAATAAAATTGCTTAGCCTTGATTGAGCTTGTTGTGGTGCACACCTGGAATCACAGCACACTGGAGTCTGAGGCAGGAGAGTCAAGGGTTTAAGACCAGCATGAGCTACATGGACGGGGAGACCCTGTCTCAAAGAAAGAGAGATTGCTGAGCATCCAGGTGGGGTAATGCAACTTTTCTGTGTTGCTTTTTCTCCATACAGCTTATAATTTTCAGTCTAACTGATGAAAGTTACATGCAGCTCAACTTAAACTCCAGAACGCTGGTGATGTTTGTCTTAGAAGGAAACTCATTAGCGTTCCCTTGGGTCTGCTGTCAGCCAGGTGATGAGGTCCACATGTCGAATCTGTGTTTAGAAGGCTAAAGTATGCAGATTGCCACATGTTCAAGGCCAACCTGGGCTACATAGTGAGTTTGGGGCCAGAATGGCTACAGAGTAAAACCCTGGCTTCAAAAAACCCAAAATAGGGTTTCAGAGTTACCTCAGTTGCTACAGTGCTTGCTGCTAAAGGATGAAGACCTGACCTCCAGTTCCCAAAAGCCAAGTAACCCCAACACTGGGAAGGTGGGGACAGCAGGACCCCTGGGCTCACTGGCCAGCCAGCTGAGCCAAATCAATGGGCCCTAGGTCCCAGTGAGTGACACTGTCTAAAAACGTAGACAGCACCTGAGAGACACCCAAGGTTGACCTCTGGCCTACACACACACACACACACACACACACACACACTCTCTCTCTCTCTCTCTCTCTCTCTCTCTCTCTCTCTCTCTCACACACACACACACACACACACACACACACATACACATACACTCATACACTCACACTCTCACACACACTCACACACATACACACACACTCACACATACACACATACACTCACACATACACACACTCACACATATACACATATACACACACATACACTCACATACACTCACACACACACACACACACACACACACACACACACACACACACACACTTTACCCTTAGTGTTTGGCATACGATATTCATAGAACCATCTGACTCAAACCAGCCAACAGAGTACACACACACATCCACATACACATGTGCTTTTATATTTTCCTCCCATTTTATTTGCTCATGTTTACTGTTTGTCAAAAATATTGCAGGGATACTGAAGTTGATAACTCTTGGCCAAAGCCCATCAAACATTCGAATTTTACTTTCTCTGTAGAATTTGAGATTTCTTTGCTATCCCTCTCCACTGGGTCAGGAATAAACAGCCCTGCCTTGAAGGAATAAACAGCCCCCCTGCCTTGAAGGTCCTGCTCCACAGGCCTGCTGACATCGTAGTAACACATCTCCTTCGTGAATGGGTGTTGGACTAAGCCAATGAAATCTAAACCCTTCCAGAAGGTGCCTCTGGTTTCAAAGAAGGCATGTTTCATTATTGTGTCTGCTATTTTGCTGGCAAAAGAATGGATTTCTGGGTAGGGTGGATAAAATAAACTGAATCAAAAAGCCAGAAAAACAAAACAATGCTGCAAGGGTTTGATTGGTTGGTTTTTAGATGGCTGTCCTGGAACCCACTCTGTAGACCAGATAGACTCCCAGGTACCCACCTGCCTCTGCCTTCTGAGTGCTGGGACTAAAGGGGTACGAAATCATGCCTGGCTTGAAAAGGTCTGGATTTTGTTTTTGTTCTGTCTTGTTTGTGAGATAAGGTCTTGTGTAGCCCAGGCTGGCCTCAGATTTGAAATTGCTATATAACTGAGGATGAACTTGAACTGGGGTCTCCCTGTCTTTACCTCCCAAAAGCGTTGATTATTGGGTGCCCCCATGCCCACATAAAAATGAAGTCTCATCTTTATTACTGTCATAAAGCCTTGACATAGAAATTTGGCAGCAAAACTTGAACCCAAACTTGGCTGGGGCTCCTGCCTCTCCATGGGTTTGGGTCCTCTGTGCCTCACTGTAGCTGAGTTGTTTTTGTTTTTCCCCTGAGACAGGGTTTCTCTGTGTAACAGCCATGGCTATCCTGGAACTTGCTCTGTAGACCAGGCTGGCCTCAAACTCAGAGACATTGCCTGCCTGCCTCTGCCTCCCGAGTGCTGGGATTAAAGGTGTGCTCCACCACTGCCTGGCACTGTAGCTGAGTTTGAATCACAGGGCTGCTCCAGGGCTGCAGAATGGGGCTTGTGGTATTGGAATGCACATATGGACCAATCTGGAAATGTAGCCCTTTATCTCAAGGGTTTCAGATAAAGGATGTGCATTTGTATTATTCCTTTAAAAAAAATAAGCAAACTTATTGAAGGTGACATTGTGGCACAGAAAGACATTTCAACAGATTAAAGCCTAATATGAACTAAGAGGGAATGACAGAGCTAGCATTTTCCTCCTCTAGGCCATGAGGGTGGTGGCTAATGAAGAATTCATTAGAATTCTTCATTCTGTTAGGGGGTGGAAAAGTCATCCCAGAAGCCCCAAATCTCATCCTATGTCTTGGGCTACTGTTCAGAACCAGAGGTGCTGAGCGGTTAAGAGCATCTACTGCTCTTGCAGAGGGCTTGGGTTTGGTTCTCAGCACACACACACACACACCCCATGTGTGGCTCACAGCTACCTGTAACTCCAGCTCCAGGGGACCTGAGGTAAACACTCTGCTGCAGGCTGCACTGTCCCTGGTCCCCATGGCCTCCATCTCCATCCTTTAGTTCCCTGTGGGTCTCCCCTTAATCTTTTTCATTTTGAAACATTCTGTTTTGTTGTTTATCTTCCAAACAAGCTCATACCGATATAAAGGAGGCCATGCTCCTTTAAATGCATACATAGAGCTAAGGTGTGATCATACACTTCTGTAGCTTGGGAGTTGGACCAGGGGAGACACCATAGTGACTGAAGGAACAATAGAGAACAACACATTTGGAACAGGTTTGAAAACAGTAAGGCCCACAATGAATAACCAAGGTCACTTTTTCAAGACTTACCTTACAGAAAGACAGTCTAATACAAAAACCATTGGTTTGACATAGAGATCAGCAGTTAATAACACAAGCGGGGACCATGTTCTAGAGGTGTGGAGGTAACTGGAATTCTGCCAGCATTGAACAGAACAGTCCCAGGTGGCTAGCTGGGGCACCATCTGAGGACAGAAGCCTCCATCTGGGAATGTGGGGAAGGAACATTTGCAGAAATGCCACTCCGCACACAAGCCAAGCATCGGTGTTTCACAAGCATTGGGAAGTCTCTCACAGAAGGCTCAGCTGTGTGTGCTACAATTTCCCAGCAAAAGCAGCTTAGAAACCCAGACACAGTTCATGCAACTGTCGAACACCTTGACATGGTAATGTGCACCCTCCAGAGCCTTTACTGTCATAGCCCATGTCCTGGTGAAACTGCAAGCTGGTGGAAGGCACAGTCCCCAGTGTCAGCATCAGAAAAGCAGCCACCACCTCTTATATGACTTTGCTTTTTGCATTTTTTCTTTCGTTTTCTTAGTCAGCTTTGCTGTCATTCCTGCTGCTTGACAAAGCTGGTAGGAACAAAGTTGCCTTCCTGACCATGGCACTCCAGCAATCACTGTCTCTAAAATTTAGGACCCGAGAGATGGCTCAATGAGTAAAGGCCCCTGATGCTGAGCCTGATAGCTGAGACCCACACGTGAAAGGAGCAAACTGTTCCTAACAACTCGTCCTCTGACACCCCTCCCCCAAATAAAAGGGTTTTTTGATTTTTGTTTAAATTCAAACACGTGTCTTCTGGGTGGAAGAAAGAAGCAAGCAAAGATGGTCACAGGTTTTCCTGGCTCGGAGACTTGTACAGCCTTCCTGAAAAGGTCATCCCTGGCTTCAGCTTATTTCAAAGATGGCATATGAAAATTCTGTTTCTGAGCTGGGTGGTGGTGGTGCATGTCTTTAATCCCAGCACTTAGGAGCCAGAGGCAGGTGGATCTCTGAGTTTGAGGCCAGCCTGGTCTACAAAGTGAGTTCTAGGACAGCCAGGGCTACACAGAGAAACCCTGTCTTGAAAAAGAAAAAGAAAAAATAATTCTGGTTCTGCAGTGATGAGCGTAAAGTTCAGCAAGTTCTATCCAGTTTCATTCCACAGGGATGTGAGCAGAGGGCATCCTGACAGAACCCGTGTCACATGTCACACATGTCACTCTGATGGGTGACATCTGTCGTGCTGATGCTGTCATCTAGGCAGCAGTGGGCCAGGGCTGCTGGGTCAGGCTCACTCACAAGAAATCTCAGGGTTTCATCTGGCCACTGACTGTCCTACTCTCTGGGAAACCCACAGTACATGAGTAGCAACAGTCAGTGTGCAGACGGTCTATACAGCATGCGGCTCTAGCAGGCATCAGGCTATTCCCAAGGTTCAGTGTGGACAGCACTTAGAGAAGGTTGGTGACATTCTTAGAATTCAAAGCAGCTGTGAATTGAGTTGAACCCATTGACATCCCTATCAGGCCCAACAGGAGAGCCAGTGCTTTTATTTAGCAAGAGGACAGGACCAAAATGAAATGAATCGCAGAGGCAGACACACACCCACTGAGTGAGTAAGGCTCCTGCCTCTGTGTTTTGGTCCCACTTATGACTGAACACTGCATGTCCTTCAGATGGTCATCGCACTCAGATCTTGGACTAGTTCGAGGATCCTCAGACCTTGCTTGCATCGGAGTGCTGCCTAGAGGACAAACTTCCAGCAGCTTCTTGAGAAAACACCCAGCTCCGTCAAAGAGTCACAAACAACCACAGAAATCAGTCACATCTCTCCCGACGCCTCCACCCTGCTGGGAGTGTCACCCAAGTCCAACTTTCTTTACAATCATTTTATAATAACTCCAAAAATAATTAAACTTTCCTGGCTACTTGTTGTGAGCAAAGGTTTCTATTGGCAATGTAGGCAGGTACAGTTTCTTAGTTTCTTGAGGCCTGCTGCCTTCGTGTCAAGGAGGCTTTAGCCAGTGTTGCTGGCCATGTGGTGTGAGATTATTGCTGTTGTTAAGATTTTAATATTGTCTGTGAGATGCTGAGCAGTGGGTTAAAGCCATGAGGTATGCTCCCAGACAATCACATCAGGCCTATGGCTCTGTAGAAGGGGTACAAGGAAATGGGTGGCTTCTCCAGACTGTAGCCCTGATGACAGGCAAAGCAAGGGATCCAACACACGTACGTGCATACACACACACACACACACACACACACACACACACACACACACACCTACCTACCACCCAGAAAGCAGTGCTTCCTAACAGGGGGTCCAGAAGAATCCAGGCCCTGCCTTCCACCTGGAGGTCTGGCCAGGAAGCAGCGAGCCTGCTAGAAACCTTGCCTTTAATACCTTGAAACCACAGTATACACTGTTCCAAAACTATGTGTGGGCACATGTGATTTGTGGCTGAAATCCGGAGGTACAGCGGCAGAATTCCCTGTTCAAAAGAACTTAAAGATCCGTCATCACAGGTGATGTCATCGTTGTGTGGAAAGGATAGATCCTGAGGCAGGAAGGAGCATGGTGGCAGGGTCTGGGAGAAGCTAACAGGAAAGAACAGAACCTGTCAACGTGGCACATTTGTCTGGTGCTCCTCTGGCGCTCACTGAGTGTCAAGCTGTGCTCAGCACTTCATATCTTCCTTTGAACCTCAGACTGCACAAGCTGGGTAGCACTGCACATTTTACAGATAAGGGTTCTAAAGCTTCTCAGAGTTGGTTACCTGTTCAAAGTTCGCCTCTGCTAAGTCTAAAGCACTGGTTATTAACACCCGATCTCTCAGGAGGTAGCGAGGGCAGCAGGAGGCACTGATGAGATGAAGCTGTGGGAAGCCCATTTGGATACAGAGCCTGTGGCCTAAAAGGCCTGGTGTACTGACGTTTTCTGTCCTGAGGGGATGTTTACCAAATGGAGTTGGTGGTGAGGATGGGCTAAGGGTTTGCTACCACTGTGAAGTGGAAAAGATTCAGGGGAATATAGTGTTTCAGGTTCTTCAGGGCACTGCATAAGCCTGTCACTTGAGGTAGGAGGTAGACTGTGGCCATGGTGAGATTTTTCCATAGTTGAGGGGCAGGACCAGCCACAGGCTGGCTCTTCTTTTGGAGCATCTGTTGGGCATTGGAGGATGGGTGAGTGGGTTCCCTCTACTCCTGTGGCATTCTGCAATTCAGAGCCCATTTAATGTGGGCAGCCAGCTGTATCTGTGCAGTAGAGTTGGTTACAACAGTGGAGAGGAAGCAGCCTCCTTGGCATGGGAATTAAGGTTTGTTTATTTGGTTTTTTGAGACAGTTTCTTTGTAACCCTGGCTGTCCTGGAACTTCTATGGGGACTAGGGTGGCCTCAAACTCAGAAATTCACCCATGGCTGTCCTGAGTGCTGGGGTTAAAGGCATGTACCACCACACCCAGCTGGTTTTATTTTTAAATACAATTCATCTCTAAAGCCACAGGGAATGGGGGAGAGATGGCTCTGTGGTTCAGAGCACTTGTTGCTTTTCCAGAGGACCCGGGTTCACTTCTTTGCACTATATAGCAACTATATAGCAACTAAAAATTGTTCCAGTTCTGGGGGATCCAACCCCCTCTTGTGGCCTCCAGGGGACTGCATGTAGTATGAAGACATGCAGGCAAAATAACCGTACACATCAAAAGGGGGGAAAAAAAGGTATGAGCAATGTTCTCTGACAACACCACTTAGGTCCTCCTGCCCTTCCCACCCTGCTTATCTGAACACTTGCTCCAAGGAGCTCACTGCAGGAACCCTCAGCCCCAAGACACTGCAGGCAGGCTTTTACTGGTTTGCCATGTTGAATTCCCAAGGCATTGTGGGGTTGGCTGGTGGATAAGATGTAAAAGATTCAAAGAGAGGGATTTTGACAATTAATTTTGGCTTCTAGAAAATTAATGAAGAGGCATGTTTTTGGTCCTTACTAGTCTCGGGAAGCTCCTGTGTCCTGGGCCTTGTCATCCCCCACCCTTCGTGTGAAGCCTCCCTCCCCCCAGGAGGGTTCCCAGATGCTGAGCCTTCATCTTTCTACCCAGACTGGGTCTGCCACAGTGAGACACATAGAATGCCGAGAGATGTGGCGTGCGCTTGTGTGGTTGTCTTTTGGAGTAAATGCTCCCCACTGGCTGTATCCACAGTGCTTTAAGTGTGTCTGCTGCCTTTTCTAGGTGAAAATAAGTCACCTCCTCGCCCCTGTGGCCTGAACCACTCAGACTCTCTCAGTCGAAGCGACCGGATTGATGCCATGACACCAACCTTGGGGAGCAGCAACAACCAGCTCAATTCTTCATTCCTGCAGGTCTACATCCCCGACTACTCAGTCAGAGCCCTCTCTGACCTACAGTTCGTCAAGGTGAGTGGGGGAGGGCTGGCTGGCTGGACCCAGCAGGTGTCGCCCACTCCCCTGACCCTTTGTGTCAGAGCACCCACCTCCCTCTTCTGGGCCCAGAACACAGAAAACACATTGATCTCAGTTCCATGCCATGAGCAGCCAAAGCGAACATGGTCTTGGCAGGGGACAGGAACTGGAGATGAGGGAAACCCATTCTCAGGGTTTTCTGGGGCCCGTAGCTAGTGACTCTGGTTGGCCTAGGAGGCACTAGGAGGTTGCCTTCTGCCCTTGGGACAGGTTCTTCTCCTAGTCTGAAGTAGACATCTTCTGGAGACCAAAGCCACATTAGCTGATGGAAGCTGATTTCCACTTTTTTTTTGTCTCTAAGCCTCAGAGGCAAGATGTAGCAATGGTTCCAGTGGTGAGAACTGACTTGATTGCTGGAATCAACTTGAACCTCAGAGTTGCCCGTTTCTACTCAAGGATGATTTTCTCCTAGAGTGCTGGGCCTTTTGGGGTGTTCATTGTCTGATGCAATGTAAGCGAACCTAAAATGAAGTGTTGTCTCAGTTTGTTTTCTGTGTCCTCTTGGCCCCAGATCTCCAGACAGCAATACCAAAATGCCTTGATGGCATCCCGGATGGACAAAACCCCCCAGTCTTCAGACAGTGAAAACACTAAAATTGAATTGACTCTTACGGAGCTGCATGATGGTTTGCCGGACGAGACGGCCAACTTGCTCAATGAACAGAACTGTGTGTCGCACAACAAGGCCAACCACAGCCTGCACAGTGAAGGCGCCATCTAGGGCCCTTCAAGCCCTCCTTAATCGGCCTCCTGGCCTGTCTGACCATGACTTCCACTAGTGTGAGCTTGTCTGCCATGCTGCGACATACAGCATTGAGACCAAAGACTTTGCCCCTTTCCCTGGAGGCTGCGGAGGACGGCATGGGGAGGGATGGAAGCTAGACACGTGACATCGACAGCTGGGGCATGGCTTTCAAGAATTCGGAGACAAACTTCTTCCGCCCAAATAGAATCATGTTTATTTTTTCAGTACCTTTTATCATTTCTTTCCTCCCTCAATTTGCATGAATTTAAAAATTGTTTCATTTATTTTTTTCAAGAGATCATGTTTTTGTTTTTAAGTGTCTTTTGCAGAGTTTTAAGTTGGTCTGTCTGAGCTAACTCTGCTGTGATCCCATGATGTGACCCTAACAGGCTGGACTTGCCCCTTGAGTGGCCTTCCTTGGCCGTCCCCAGGAAGGATACCTTTCCTCTGTGTGCCGGTGGGTGTCGCCGTTGAACTTGACGGATGAATGAAGAAAACCACGTCACTGAGGAATGTGCCAAGTCTGTTGTCGCTGTGGGTGTGGGCAGACACTGCAGATGCCCCTCTGCACATAGCGTTGTTTTGAAAATATGTTTAACTGTGTCCCTTTCCCTCAGGAAGGGTTAACGTTTGCTTGGGAATGTGATTTTGCTCCCACCCTAAGGAATTTTTATCACCAAAATGAATGTTAATGAATTTTAAACCCATGGTTTATCATTGGCAAGAGACAAGTTGACTTCATCCACATTCCTGTAACCTGGGGTGATCTGGGGAATCAGCTGAGCCCCCCCCCAAACCTTCTCGTCCCTCACTCTCGTTAACCCAAGCTGCTGCTCCAGGTGCCAAATGGAAACCTTCCGTGGGGCGTCTTAATGAACATGTGTTGTGGCAGCTACGTGAGTGCCTCCTTCCCACTGGGATTTGTCAATTACCAGAATGAGGCAGGGGTGGGGTGGGATGGGCTATGTACTTGGGCAGGTCTAGACCCATGTTTTTAATGGAAGGACAAGGGACTGCCTGTCCTGCCCCTTCTTCCATACAGCCAAGTGCCCTCTCCCATCTTGTCCATGGGCTGTGGGGCCCAGAAGTGGCAGTGCCCCTGCTCAAGGTGTCTCTTGCTTCAGCTGTGGCCAGTGCCAGAGAGGTGCCCATACAGCCAGTCAGGTTCACCCCAAACGGATTCAGAAACCAAATGTGTGTTGTGACCGTTTCATGTGTGTGTCTCTTGTCCTATTTTAATACCAAATTTACCATGTGTTGTGAAGTTCACGCCAGCAAGTACTGTTTGGGTGACTGAATCCGTAACTAGCTTCTTTGTGTAAGTGGTTCCTTGCGTTTGCTGGCGATACTCATACACTGAAATGAACTGCTGACCATAGTGTTTGATAGGATTCTCAGCACCCAGGTCACTGCTGGAGAAGACAGGGTCTCCTGTGCCTGGCTTCCTGCCCTAAGGCTCAACATCAGCCTCCTCCCTCAGGTAGGAGGTCCACCAACCCCAGGTTGGGCTCTGGGAGGGTGACATGTTAGGTTGGTCTCCTGGTTAATAGTTGGTGACTCTGGAAATGTGTGTGTGTGTGTGTGTATGTGTGTGTGTGTGTGTGTGTGTGTGTACGCATGCATGCTGGGAGTGGAACCCACAGCCTTGGGCATGCTTGGCAAGTGTCCTATGATTGCTACACCTGGGTTTGGGCCTCTGGTGCCATGTCCATGGACAGTGTTAACCCTGGGTGGTGGTCCTGGAGAGTTCTCAGGAGGGACCACGTCTGACAGAGAAGGGGTGGCCTCACTTGTGGAGGGTCACTGGCAGTGGCCTTACTCTCGGGTTGCTGAGTGACCTGCTGCTGGCGCCTGGCCTGTCACCTTGGGATGCAGGTCCTACCATATGGAGCCCCACACTGTGAGTAACCCTCTTTTCAAACACGTCCAGGTTTTTAAAAAATCCATTTACTAAGGAGCATAATGTGTGCAGATGCAAACTCTGGCCAAGGCTGGGGGTCTCTCTCTACACCAGTAAGCCTCCACCTGGGCCCCTCCCTGAGGCCTGGAGGGAGCCAGGAGCCCAGCCAAGGCTCTGGGTGGCACGTGCTCCCCTCTGTCAGCCTCTTGGGCACTGTGCGTACCTGCCTCAGGCATTCTTACTGCTGGAAGGGGCCTGTGGGACAGAAGCACGCGGAGTCCCTTTTCAGAGCTTCACTGTTGGTGGATCCTAGCGATGCCTGGTGTGGCTGTTAGGTGTAGTGTTCTCTCACAAAGCCGCTGGGAAGACTGAGACTGTAGCCTGCCCGCCAGCTTTGTGTTCATTCCCACTAACCATCTAATTACCGTTGAGTAGTCACTCCATTCTTCCAACAGGAATTCAGAATCGTTCCTCCCCAGTTCCCAAGTGCACAAAGGTGAACTGGCTGCTCTGTGGAGAGGTCTCAACCTTCAAACAGGGTTTGCATCTGAGTGACCAATTCTTCAGACTCCTTAGGAGCTGAAGGAGAGACACTTCTCCTCTGGGGCAGCGTAACTGTCTTGTCCAGGAAGGGCACATACCATCTGTGGCCTGACCCCATGGGCTTCCCAGCCAAGAAAGACTAGCAAGTCCGTGACGGCCAGGCACAGTGGCCCCTCCCTTGTGCTCTGGCCTGTAGTCCTCCCAGATGCAGCTTGTGTGAACAGGGAGGTAGGAGGGGGAGGGCAGGCAGGCTGGCCAGACTGGGGGTGCTATGGGCCTACCCCCTGCCCTACCGTGGCATCTGAAGCCACTGCTGCCAGCCAGAGGCCAGGGCAGCCTTGGGTGCAGATGTGGCCAGGACATTCATGGTGAATGAGCGTCCTTCGCCCCACTGCCCTTTGTCCACTGGGCAAGTCCAAACTCTTAACAATTAAAACCTTGGGAAAACAGAACCCTAAAATGTATGCATGAGCATTGGGTGCTAGTCAAGTGGATTAAACTTTGGTTCTTAATCTGAAGGTGCCTCCTCTTCCTTCCGTACTCTCTGTGGGCCTGGTTGCCCTCACGTGAAGGGAGCTGAGCCACACACCACTTTCTCATGTTATTCCAAGAAACGTGTGTAGGTGTTCAGTGCAGAACTTCACACTGACATGGAACACGAACTGTGAAGTAGCCTTGCACCCCCAGCTCCGTACAGCTGAAGGACTAGGTTTTCCAAGTCTAGGAAAACAGCCCAGGTCCAAATGCATTTCCCTTAAGGAATGGAGCATCGGGGCTTTCGGCAGGGACCTCATGCTATTTGGGTTAAGAAGCAAACCAAGTAGGTGCTGAGTGAGTGAGCCTGTGTCCTAGCTAATTAAAACACATGCAGGGACCTCTGTTCTCTGAATGCTGCCAGGGATCTGTGCCACACAGTCCCTGTGCCTGGACCCAGGGGATGAGGTCTCCCAGGGGTGAAGCCAGGCAGGTTAACTGGTGCAACGTCCACACCTTGTTCCTGGACTGAAGAGCAGGCCTCAGAGGGCAGACTTCTTAGAGCATGCCTTGTAGCCTAAGCTCCCTGGTGGCTTGGCACACCTCCCCCCTCCCTGCTCTGACCCAAGAAGTGTTTTTCCTATGAGGGGCTGTTTTAGGCTTCAGGTACCACTGTGCCCTTTCTTACTGAGACTGGGCTTTCCTGGGCTGTTCACTTCCATTCTGGGCCTAGGCTTGTGCCTCTGTGAAACAAGGACAACTGGGTAAGCTGTAGGCTAGCCCAGAATCCAAGGAGCTGAGGTGAATAGGGAAGTAAGTGACTGGGGGGCTTGGGGGGTTTCCCAAACAAATTTATCAATGAGCAACCTACTCAGTGGATTTTTATACCTCAGGGCCATTTGCTTTTGTGTCTGAGTGGCTGATGGGAAGGATGAACTCATTGAGGTTCACGTCTTCTACTCGAGGGATGGGTAGCGTTCCAAGGCTGGTCTGGAGCCTGGGCTGAGCAGACCTTTCTCCAAGACTTGTGCACACTCCTCCCGGAATCAATGATAATTTACTGGTTTTCTTTCTGGGGAGTCCAGTCAGTCAGAGGGAGCAGTCCTTCACAGCAGCTGAGGGCCTTTGTTTCTTAGTTTCCTGTGACCTAAACGGGCAACCTTTTTATACCAGAGACCTTGAGACATCTCAACTGCGATTGTTTTAAATACCTTTTGATGGGGAGTTCCAGGCAGTACTTGAAGCAATATCAAAATGGCAGGAAGGGTCAGGTTCTAGGTGTTTGTAGGTACACAGCTGTGACACATAGGAGAGACAGTCAGCAGTGACTTCAGATGAGGTTACTCTGGATACTGTCTGGCCTCACTTGGAAGACACCTGAGTGCTCACATCTGATCCACACGGATTTACTTAAGGGGGCTGGATTCTTCTAGAATCACTCTAAAGAGAGCTATCAAAGGGGCCTAACAGACCTGAGTGCCTGCTCTTCTTGGAGACTCGGGTTTCTTACATATAAACAGAGGGAAGTGGCAAAGAACGATTCCTTGGACACATTCCCTAGACAGCCCCCACCTAGCTTCTGAACACCCATGTCTGGTCTACTGTGAAGAGTCTATCAATCCATTGACTTTTCTTGTTTTTACAGTCCTTTAAATCCACAAATGTATATGCTTTATTTTATATTATTTATTATGTACATATGTCTACTGTTAGTATAAAGCTCCTCATCCATGGAGCCCAGGGTTCTGTTCTCCCTTACTGGGCGAGAGGGTGGTGGTATTCTTTTCTAAAGGAAAAAACAAAACAAAAACCTGTATTGCTGCTGCTCTTCCCTCAGCGTCTTTCACGGCCCCACTGCCACCCATTCGTGGTGGCCAGTATTTGGGAGGTAGGTGGAGGCAGACCATCTCAAGTCTCCATGAGTTACTGCAGAAGTGGTTTCTTTCCTGTGTGGTGGTAGCATGTGGCTCCTTCCTCATCACTACCCAAACCAGATCAGTTTCCTGGTCCAATGATAGCCCAAAATGACAGCCTCTACTTCTCACCTTGGCTTGCTGAACCTGTCTGTGTCCTGGAAGCTGCCTGCCCATCAAGGCTCTGAACATGCCTCTTCCTGGTGTCATGGCCCAGGTACTGACGCTGCCTTGGGTCTAAAGCAAGCCCTGCTTTGTCTGGTTATCCCCATTCTCCTTAGCGGTGCCCACTGTATCATGGTGTACATTTCATGCATTTGAGCAGTGCCATCAATGGGAAGCTACACAGGCACAGGTCACGTGCACAGGCTCCACAAGCCGACTGTCATGATGGACGCATTTATAATTCAAATGTTGTAGATTTACAATACCTATTTATTTTGTACCAATTTATTTGTAAATCTTGTGATTGTTTTTAAAAAGTTTTGTTTATTTCTATTATTCTATTTAGATAAATGATTTTCTGTTCACCCTTCTAGCAGATGTGTGTTCCCTCTTTCCTCTGTGTAACACCAACCATTTTGTTTTGTTCAGCCTTGGTCCCCTGCCCAACTACCTGGCTTTACTGGTAGGAAAAGATCAGACTGGATCACTCCAGGGCGCCTCCTTTGGACAGACACTGCAAAGTCTTGTGTTCACAGAAATACAAGTTGACTGCCTCCAGGTTACAGCCTGGTGTACAGCGGGTTCTAGAGTGTTCTCCTTTCAAGGAGTGAGGTCTGCCCCCATCAGCCATGCACTAGAAAAAGGTAGAAGGAGCCACTCAACTTGCCATGGACACTAGCAGCCCTAGTGACTTAGCAGCTAGGTAGATGGAAAGGCGAGGTCTTGCTTGGCAGTGGCACCAAGGCTCTGTCAGAGCAGGCAGTCCCAGGTTAAAGGAATGGTTATGTGGTCCTTATCGTAACTTCAGCATGTACTTGTCCTGGCAGCTGACCTGACAATAGGCAGGTTTCTGAGAGGGAATAAATGCTGGGCTGTGGTGAAACACTTCCTGATGATGTTAGTAGCTGTCAGGTGCTGAAACCGCAGGAAATACCAGGCAGGTGTCCTGAGACTGAGCCTGTTTCTCTCTACGTTACACTTGGCTGTCACATACGTAAATCCCAGGCCCACAAGTCCATGGGTGACGCTACTAACGGACCTCTCAACATTCAGTGCCTGGCAAACGCTCAGGAACTTGAGACTTTCAGGACTGTTGCTGTCTCCATGTTGCTGCTTCACCCCCATCTTCCAGGTCTCCTCTACAGACCCCTGGGAAGAGTCGGGTGTAAAAGAGCTCCCTGCTCTTGCTCTAGCAACAGATGGAGTTTGGGAGCCTTACGTACCCCTGTGAAGAAACAGCAAGTGGCCAGGCTGAAAACTGGAGTTGCAAGTTGGGAAATACGTAGACACATGGCGTACAAGTATGTGTGTCTGCGGCAGTGCTCAGAGTTGAGGTAGGTATAGTTTTAAGTGTGGCTCTAAGAGTGACTTGGGACTGTGAGCACTCATGCATGCATCGCTTCCATGGGAATGTGTGTGACAACTGTGCCATTAGGCAACCTCATGGGATCAGCACTGCACTGTACTTTCACAAGCCAGGCGGTTACAGGAGCAGGCCATAGAACCTTAGGGGCCACCATGATATACATGGTCTATTTGGTGACCAACACGCTGGTGTGGCATGTGGCGACATTTTATTTCTTGGAATTACAGTTATTTTTCTCAGACAGCTTCATCACACTGTTGTTGCCGTATGTTGAGAAGCGGGCAAGCGATGAGGAAAAAGCCATGAATTTTGTAAACGAGTATTCTTTCTAAATGATCTGCTTTCTGCTATTTCTGGACAGCAGTGCGATGGTGAAGCTCTGTTTTACTGTTAGTGGACCTGGGTGCAGGCAGCGTGGCTCTGCGGTTTCCATGCTGATTTTTGGCTGTTGAGCATGTGTACAGCATCTATACATGTCATTAGCAGTGTACGCTTTTGTTGCATCTTTGGTGAAGATTTTAGTTCCAGGTATCCCCAAATGTATGGTTAGAAATTGTTCCCTCGGAGGAAAAGCTGTAAGAGAAGCTAATTTCCCAGTAACAAGAAGGAATGCCATGAGAAACTAAGTACTGAAGCCTTAAGTCTCAAGCCGTGTGCGGAATGGGGCTGCTTACGGTGTGGCAATGACTTCGGCATGTCATTTTCCCACCATCAGAGAGAGGTTACATAGTTTCCATAACATGGAATGTGAACAAAGTTCCTGTCCTAATACAGACTTAATGCACTTGTTTATCTCAGGCTATTCGTGGTGAACAAGCAGAGTATTTTAAAATGCCCAAGAAGCCTTGGAAAAATTGCAGGACTTTAAAGTTGTTAAACAAATAAGTCCGATTTAGAAATATCTAAACATGGACAAGCTTTTAAATCTGAGATCTAACTACATATAGTTTTTTTAAGTGGCTTTCTAAAAACAATGTGACTCAGGGCTTTGTAGCTGAGTTATTCTTTTTAAAACAAAATTTAAAAAGCATGTTGGAGTAGCTTGAGGGTGGGACCCTGCATGACAAACACTGGGGTCCCTAGTGTCACACACTCCAGGCTTGGAGTTCAGTCTCCACTGAAGAAAGGATTTTTGAATTCTGATGTTCTAACTCCTGAAAACAAGTGTTCTCAGAATCCCTAGAAAAGGGTCTCAAGAGTGATAGAAAGTCTGCCATTTTTGTCGTCTGAATCATTCAGGTTTAAGAAAACAATGGAGTCAGGCATGGTGGCACACGCCTTTAATCCCAGCACATGGGAGGCAGAGGCAGGGGGATCTCTGTGAGTTCAAGGCCAGCCTGGTCTACAAAGCGAGTTCCAGGACAGCTAGGAATGTCACACAGAGAAACCCCCGTCTCCAAAATCCACAAAACAAAAACAGTGGAGCAGTTTAAGTACTGACAAGAGAATTAACCTGCTGCACACACTGCCAGCACATACTGAGCAGGGGACATCTGCTGCTCCCTCCCGGAGCCCCTGCTTGCTCGTTAGCATCCCGAAATGTGACTCACACAGAATTTTCCCCACTGTGTGCTCTCCATGCAGTCATCTGGAGCAAACTGTTGTATAGATACAACACAAAAACAGAAAGCAAAGCAGAGTGGTGTTGCTCTAACGGGAAACAAAGGAACGCACTGTGACCAGCGAGGTGACTGTCTGGAGCTGCGCCATGCCATGACGAGGGCCTGAGAAGACAGCACCGTCAGCATCAACCTGAAGGAGAACAGTCAGCAACTATGTGGCTATGGCAGTCTCTACATTTTAAAGACAGAGATCTAATCGTCCATGTATATATTCCAGAGACACCAGTCAGAATCATGGTCCTTGGGATGACTTACTCTAAAGCCACAGCTAGTGAAGTTATGCAGCCTTGGCTAAGTTGCTGAGCTGTGCTCCATACCTATCAAATGATTACTATAAAACAAGCCAGCCATGTTAGAGCACACCTTTAATCCCAGAGCGCAGGAGGCAGAGGCAGAGGCAGGCACATCTCTGTGAAGTCAAGGAGGTGCAGGACAGCCAGGGCTACACAGATAAACTTTGTCTTTAAAAAAAAAAAAAAGTCAAAACCTTGATGAAAAAAATCTTTATACCTATGAAACACTGTACATAAGAGCATGTTCTTGAACTAAAAGTGATACAGATATAGTTAGCAATCTTGAAAATGTGATTTCCTTTGAGAGCATGCCAAGCCTAAAGCCATCTGCAGACCAACGGCTGTGACAGTTGACAGCTGTTTTACACAAGAGTGGTGTCAGCATTAGACATACACTTTACTAAGCTCTAGAGCAGCCAGTACCCTAGTGACCAGGGCCAAGAATGGAAGAAAACAAATGAAAGCTAAAGCAAGAATCTAGAAAAGTGTTCCAAGTGTTGGGCAACTCCCTGCACTGGCAGGGCAGTCACATGACTTCATCTTCACAGGCTCTTGCTTTATTCAGAGCAGGGAGTAATTTCCCGCAGCACTCTCAAGTGAACCGATTCTCACTGTGCCTTTTGCTACAGAGCCCCCTCCCATCTGTGTGCGTAGGAGCAGGGTCCCCCTGCAGTCCTCACGATGACAGCAGCTCCGGCTGTAAGCAACAGCTGCTGTTCTCTGGGAACTTGTGCCTCTGCATCTTCAGCGACATTCCCCAAAAGGATTGTTTTTATTTAACAAAAAAGCATTTGTGCTACCAATTTTTTAAAATGTAGCAAGGATGAGGACTTGTGCCTCAAATTCAAACCCCTGTGGTCTAGTCTAAAATCACTCCAGCAAGGAAACCCAGGAAGGAACCAACACAGCAGCAGCCTTGCCAGGGCCACCAGGGAAACCCAAAAGCTAAGGAACCTGACCTGCCAGAGGACTGACTGCACCTGACACTGAAGCCAGTGCATTTCCCCACGGATGTGCAAATACGGGGTGATGCACTGGATGGGGGGGGGGGGGGGGGCAGCAACAGCACAGTCTGCAGTAACTCGGTGGTGTGGCTCACCTCTTCCCACCAGGCTCTCGGCTCTGCTCTGCAGCCCTCCCCCACCCGCAGTGTGTGCAGATGGCACCCCGATGATGGAGACAGACAAGGAGACACCATCACAACCACAGGGTGCCATCTGCACGCAGTCCCACCCGACTTTACCTCATCTTCCTACAGTTTCGAACTATCTGCAGAGAATACAGATACACAAAACTGAAGTGAGGAGCTATGATTAGAATTATTTAAAGCCTTCTGAAACTTTCCAAATGTACTTCTGATGAGGGCCACCCACCCTCCCTAACAGAATCGAAACAAGGCCACCCTTGCCCCGTGAGTCCTGCCAGACTTGCTGATGGGTGCTCAGGGTTTTAGTTTGCCTCCTTATTCTTCCTCTTCCTCCTCTTCATCGTCGTCTTCATCATGGCAGTGTGTAATCTCCTGGGGAGCCAGCGGGAAGAGGTTGGGCGGCTTAATCTCACTAACGGACCTTGTGAGCTGGTGCCGCTTGTAGTCGGTGTCTTTGAAATCCACAGATGTGCGGTTCCGGGTGGCGAGAGGGGATTCCATCTCGTTGATATCCACGTGTGTGTGCTCCACTGTTGATTCATGAGGCATCTAGAACAAAGCAAAGGCTCAGGCTACAGGCAGCACAAAGATAAGTACCACCCAGATCTGAACCCTAACATGTCTTATCTACAGTGTCTGTATGAGTGAAATCTGCCAGCAGGGACAGAAGCTGCCCGCATCCTTTCCTACAGATGAAAACCAGTAAAACAGAAAAACCGTACTTTCTATTTTTATACTCCCTAAACCAGTCCTGAAACAGAACAGTATTGGGACACACATATAAGAACATTTATTTCAATTAGTACTAACGAAGGCATCTCTCAATGTAGTCCTAACTCAGAGATTCACTTGCTTCCACCTGCCAGGTACTGGGACTAAAGGCGTGCACACCACACCTGGCTTTTTTTTTTTTAAATATAGGGTCTCATGTGGTTGAAGCTGGCCTTGAACTCCCAATCCTCCTACCCATGCTCCCCCACCCCCAAAAGCTGAGATTCTAGGTGTGAGCCACCACCTACTCAAAGGAAGAAAAGTCTTTCTATCTAACCACATAAGCCATTCACAGTTTTCACATAGACTATCTCCCATGTCATTCCACAAACCTGGTGCAGATGTGACCCAAGGTCCATCTTAGCTGTCTGTCCCAACAGCTTTACTCACCAGGACATGGGCGGCTCTGAAGAGGTAGCTGAACGGGTAGTACAGCAGGTTGATGAAAGACGCTGCGTAGAGGTCAGCATACCTCATCACTTGACTGGCAAAGAGTGTCTGCCGGGAGCCACTGCGGAAGAGGCTTCCCATCATCCCATAGCACATGTCCATGTCATGAGTTACTTTCTAGAAAAAAAAAAAAAGTTCTCAGCTGATTCAACTATCTGTTGGTCACCAGCAACATCCAAGTTCCTACATAAAATCAGAAACATGTAAATGACTTAGACAACTGATTTTCCACATTTTATCCCAAATCCCATCTGGATACCTTAATCCGTCTCTGGATGGAACTAATGTCTGGGCGCTCATTGCTACTGCTGTCAAGGTGCCTGGGGACAGAAGGAAAGCACAGAACAAATCTCTAAATGAACACATTGTATTCCTATGTTGTTCTTGAAGATGTAGGTAGGGTTTAGAACTAGGAAACTTACTTGTAGAGTTCAGCCAAGAAAATATCCAAGCTCTGAAGTTCTTCAAAAAGTGCTAGTTAAAAGTTTGGAAAGGAAAAGAAAATGTTTTACATAAATCAAGAAAAGGTACCTGGCTTTTAAGTGCTGCTCAAATTAGTGAACTCTAAGATATGACAAAAAGCACAGCCTTGCCTAACATGGCAGAGTCAAGTGTGTGTGTGATCTGCGTCTCCCCCGGGAAGCTTGCTGACACTCACGTGGACTCTGCCAACGGAAGACCACCAAGATTTCCTTTGAAGGGTCTCCTCCTGCCTAAAAGCCATTGACCACAACTCCCCCTTCCAAACATGTGCTCACGTGGGGGCTTCCAAAACACTAATTTCTGCTCCCTTGGGTGCAGGCACCAAAGAAACTACTGATAGTTTGACTTTAAAAAAAAAAAGTTTATGTTTGAAGTTTGTGTGTGTGGTGGGGGTGGGAGGGCTTGCGTGTGCCATGGGGTGTGTGTATGAGTCAGTTCTCACTATGTGGACTTTGGGGACTGAGCTCAGGTGAAGTTTACCAGCAAGCACCTTTACCCACTCAGACATCTAGCTGGCCCCATTTCTAGAAAAAAGGACTAGGAATTAGGTGACTGGTCCAGAGCTGAAGGTCAACTAGACTTCTAAAACTTCACAGGTGGGAAGCTTAAACTGTGAGGGCGACAGGCAGCTTCATTGACATGCCTCCTGAGTTCCCCAGGAGAACCACACCCTGATTTATCTATTACACAGAAGAGGGTTTCTTCTACCATCTTTACAGGCAGAAAGTCATTGAAATCAGGTGCTGTCACAGAGAAGGAAAGCCATCGTTTCTGCTTTCTTTATGTGGACTGCCTTGCCTGAGACTCACCAGCTTGCAGACAGGTATTATCGCTATTCTATTTTCTCGGGGAAACAAGGCTCAAGGTGCATACAGACTTTGAGCAGAGGAGCCAGAATCCCATCAACGTACAACACATGGCAGAGCTGGTAACTATGGCCACAATGACGGTGATACACTGGACCACAGGGAGGACTTGCACATCAAACGCCTTTCTGTAGCTACCTGTGGCCCAACTGAAGAGTGTGTACCACATAATGCGTGCTGTGTGGCTCAGTTTAAGGATGACATTGGGCTTCTGTCTTCATGAATACAGGCAATTAGCATTCAGAGCCATTGCTGCCCCAGAATCACGAGCAGGCAGTGTTAGAGACAGCCTGGGACGACCGGATGCGGCTGGAGAAACATGGACTGCAGACCACAGACTCTCACTGCAATGAGCTCAGGACAGCAGTATTCTACACTACCTCACGGGGCTGAAAATCTGAAATGTATACACATGCAAATGTGAACACGGTGAGTGTGTGTGTGTTGCACAAATTCTGGAGTTGTGTGTTATATTGAGTAATGGTTAATCTAAGAGAACTAAGTCAAAGCTGTTACGTAAGATAGAAACTAGTGGCAAAGATTTGAAAGGAAGAATAATGAGTGATGATTCCTTACAACTCTTGTCAGTCCAGACGTGAAGCTCCTGTGCAAGCTCAGGAATCACCAAGAAAGTTCTCCACCCCTGCCGTTTCTTTGACTTCAAAATGTCTCCAAAAATGTGATCTCCAATGTACAAAATGTCTTTGCCCTTGGCTCCCAACAGGTCACAGATCGTATCAGATGAGCCTGAAGGAGTGAATGAGAAGAATATTTCTAGATTCAAGAAAGGACTCAGAGCCCACAGCTATATACTCCAGAAATATATAATTATGGGAAAGAGGAGTCTTTCTTTTTTTCTTTTTGGAGACAGGGTTTCTCTGTGTAGCTTTCGAGCCTATCCTGTCACTCGCTCTGGAGACCAGGCTGGCCTCGAACTCACAGAGATCCGCCTGCCTCTGCCTGCCTCCCGGGTGCTGGGATTAAAGGTGTGCGCCACCAACGCCCAGCTGAGAGGAGCCTTTCTTAAAGAAAAAGGTTCACTGTTCTTTGTACAGCCTCAGTCAAGGCTATAAGCCCTACTCTCCTGACCAGAGCTCTAAGCAAGAAGTCTAGTCAGGTAGTGGTGGCTCACACCTTTAATCCCAGTATTTGGGAGGCAAAGGCAGGCGGATCTCTGTGAGTTTGAGGCCAGCCTGGTCTACAAAGCAAGTTTCAGGACAGCCAGGGCTGTTACACAGAGAAATCCTGTCTTGAAAAAGCAACAAAGTCTAGGAAAAATGCCATCAAAATACCACAGCTGGGCTGGAGGCAATGCAGTGGTACAATGGTCGTCTAGCATGTAAGAGGCCTAGGTCAACTCTCAGAACCACCAAAGGTACCATAATTATTTTCCATCACAGATTTCTCATTAAGTTGGCTTTATTCAACTACTTCTGACTCTTGATGTTAAATGTATCTTCATGGGCTTCCTGAAAGTCCTTTGAGAAGAAATACACCCAAATGGTTCCAGAACACTGAGATCAGCCCTCAAAGGGGGACAGAAAGATCTTTTTAGTGACAATAAAACTCAATCCCTTGACTTTCATTAGCAGAGGACTGTTGACTCACAGCAGATGACGTTTCTGGTCCTGAAGAATTATGTAGCACTATTGCTGAAAGACCATGGAACCTTCCACAGTGAAGTCTGAAGCAGCACTCTAGTGAAGCCAACACTCACTGTGCAAATGTGTAAATGTGTCTAGAACAAAGAGAAACAGACAGCTCACCTCCTGAGTAGACGATGCCATGCTGCAAGGGGCCTGTGTAGGTACCGATTTTCAGTTTTCCAGTTTTCTGAGTAAAGAGAATAAAGACTGTGAAATGTTCTGTCATTTTATCGAAATCTCTATCCACATTGCTACTTGACCCTAGCACTCTGTTGGGCTGCTTCAGTTAAGATCAAAACACCTAGCTGTAAGAAATTATGGCATTAAGTAAAGGAGAGGAAAGTGGGGAAAGAAGAATAAGGGATAGTATATTAGAGCATGTCACCTTCTCAACTTACAGTGTCCACCTGACGTAGCACTGTGCCTTCTCCAAAAAAGAGTGGTTTCCGTGCATCCACTAAAATCAGATCAAAGTAAGACTGCCACGGTCGATGGGAGCTTCCTGGCTGGTGGGACAGAATCGGCAAAAGCCAAAACATCACTGTACATCTAACAGTTAATCTCACTCAAACACAAGGAATTTTTAAATAAGTTTTTTGGAAACTGACAGGTATAAACAAGAAATGCCTTTGATAAACAAGCTTAACTTATTCTCTGAAATACAGTAGCTTATTTCACAGTACTTTCAAACATGACATATGAGAAAAGCTACATAGATGCCAGCTACAATTCAAGGGACAGACTGAGAGGTCCCATCAGCACCAGAACTAAAATACAGAAAGTGACACTCAGCACTGGGGACACTCCCACTTGTTCTTAGAACGATGGCTGTAGGTATACACTGGCTTCAGCTCGTTGCACAAGAAAATATTATGCCAACTAACACTGCATTCTGAGATGGTGTTAACCTTTCCAAGCCAGCATGAAGAGCACTATACACTATAATCTTAGGACTTACTGAAGCTTATTCATGGAGGTCTAGGATTAAAATTCTCAAGTGTGTGACTAAGCTGCAGAGCTTGTTCATTAACCCTGAGAATAGTCATACTGCAGAAAGACTTCTCAATACCAAGGTTAACTGCTTTCTTGGCATTAACACCCATCAGCAACTAATCTAGAAAAAGTTAAAAACATTCACATTGAAATTCTGTTTCTTTTAAACTGGCATCACCCTCAATCTACAATTCTACACAGCACAAATAACAATTCTGCTTAAGAACTTATCCCGATCCTATTCACTCCAGGCCACATAAATGTTCATTTTATTTCTATCTAGTATATATTTAGATCACCAGAGATTTTCAATTCTGCTAGCCCTAGATTACTTCTTTTAATGCTGATTAAACAATAGGTCTTCTAAAACGGGGGCTTTTCTAGGTAGATCCTGACCATTTCCTTCCCTTGAATATTCTACAATGATTAAATACATTATTAACAAATGGCATATTAAATTACTATAATACCTTGGGTCCATGTGGGAAATCAAACAGGTAAGTCATGATTTTCTGGGGAAAAAGAAAGGTCCATGTATGACTTTTGCACAACATAAGGTTCACCACATTGCTTTCTCTATAGCTTCTGACATCATGGCAGAGGACGTTAAAAACTATATATACGGCTTGGCTTCTCAGGAAGGACATGGACTTCCAAGTGCTTGCTGATGTACACGGTCACTCATGCCCTTAGCCAGTTCTCCTGGAAAACGTGTGTGGAGGTGAGGGGCCCTGAAGAAAGGGCTCAGAGGAAACCAATGACTCCCATGAGACACTACACTGCCATTCATTAGCAGAGCCCTGGGTGAGGCAGAGCTTCTTGCTACAACTGTAATCCTATGAGTGTATCAGCAAAAGTAAGATATTTAAATTTGGTCTGTACTGGGTTTTTTGTTGTTGTTGTTTCTTTGTATCCTTTAGTCATGATCTTTTAAAATTTAAAAATAGGGGCTGGGAAATTTCATTATCTAAGATTCAAAACATACCACCTCACACTACAGGACTTCCAATATCAAGGGGTATAAAGGAAAGGGTGTGATTTCTCAGATCTAGATAAATAATGCTCTAAAAAGGCAGAGAAACTATTCTATTTCAGCATAGATCTTTTAAACACCTCCCCATATTAAAACCTTTAAATAGGCACTATAACAGTAAACAAAGAATGCTGAGGAAGAATTACAGGCATCCCAGCATGCCCCGCACTGTCCTCACAGTTCTTTAGGTCAATGCCCTTCCCTGTGTAAGAAAATTAAGATGTTAAGTACTTACATCTGTGTATTTATAGTCACTGTTAGTGGCAAGAAACACTTTCCCTACTTCCTTCATCCGGCTCAGAAGCAACGGCAATTTCCCCTGCAACGGTGAAAAAATACTTCAGTGTTGTGTGTTTATAGTTTAGTCAGACTGGGATTCTGCCCAAATATAAATAGGGTAATAAGTCTCTTAAGGATTAGTTGGTTGGTTTCAGAATTCTGTGTTTAAAAGGCCACATTGTTAGGCTTTTAAAGTATTAATATATGGTATATATTTTACATAACTCCTAATAAGTATACGGTCACTAACAGCAGATCTTTGCCACCCTCATGTCTGCTTCAGGACAGAATTTAAATTACTGTGTGATTCACAAAGTATGGGATTTATATATACTGAAGATCAGAAGTTGATTATGAGATATGATTCCACCATACACACTGTGGCTTTTAGGGTTTCTCTGTGTAACAGTCCTGCTGTCCTGGAACTAGCTCTGTAGACCAGGCTGGCCTTGAACTCACAGAGATCAGCCTGCCTCTGCCTCCCAAGTGCTGGGGTTAAAGGTGTGCGCCACCAACGCTCAGCTACACACTGTGGCTTTATAAAGACCTTTGCAGAATAAAGTGACAGATGCAGGTGCTGCCTAGAAACGCTCACCCACAAGTGAAGAGAGATGAGCAAAGTGTAATACCTGATGTCCTCACAGGAACACACGCCCCTTCCCCTTCCCACCAACTGTGCTCAACTGCTCAGAGTTCCTTCTTGAAGCAGTAAGGGGAAGTTGACAGGAGGGGACAGGACAGTGACACAAACTCTGAGAAATTATCACTGCGTTCTGCTTTTACTCTATAGGACAGTTCCTGTATCTTGGGACTCTGTATGTGTATAAATGAATTTGTCTGTTTTTTTTTTTTGACACAGGGTTTCTGTGTAGCTTTGGAGCCTGTCCTGGAACTCACAGAGATACACCTGCCTCTGCCTCCCAAGTGCTGGGATTAAAGGCATGTGCCACCACTGCCTGGCTCTTAATTTATTTTTAATTATGTATCTGTGTGTGGTATGTGCACATGAGTGCAGGTGCCTGTAGAGGCCAGAAACATTGGGTCTACCAGGAGCTGGAGTTACAGGCAGTTGTGAGCCACCTGATATGGGTCTTGGGTCTTCCTAAAGAACAGAAAATGCTCTTAACCACTGAGCTAAATCTCTAGCCCATGGGAAAATAAAAAATAAAACAGTGCTGGGGCTCATACCTAAGATCTTGTGCAAACCAGGCAAGTGCTCTACCATTGAGCTACACAACTAGCCCACTACTCTTTTTTAAACAATTTCAGCCTCACAGAAAAATTGTGATTACACACACACACACACACACACACACACACACACACACACTCACACAATTTGCCATACATTCCTTTAATAGTAACATTAGCACTGTAGCATAATTACAAAATAAATTTAAGTAACAGTGAAATGCTATGAACTAGAGCTATTTTAAAAGTATCTACTAATCTTTAATTAGTGTCTTAAATCTGTGCTCATCATTCTTTGCTGATGGGGTAAAGACCTTTTAGGTGACAAGTCACATCCATGTCCATTTTTATTGGAAAAAGCAGTGCTAAGATCTGAGTGAGTCTTGGCTAACTACTTGTGTGGCCTTCTGAGTGATGTTTTAGCATTTCTTTATTCAGAAGGGTATGCATCTACAAAAGAAGAAGTAATTGTCTAACTTACAGTTAAAGATTAGAGAGTACAAAGCAGCAACACACCTAGTGACATGCACACAGCAACCCTCCAGCTAGCTGCTGTCATTAGAGCTAAAAAGGCAAACCAAACACAGAGTCGTTTTCTGTGAAGCAGGAAGACCAAGCCCACACACTGCTAGACTCTGTGATTATGCTGCAGGTGTCTCTCCTTGTCTCTGACATGACAAATGGGCTCACCACTCACGCCCTCACCATGAAAATCATGTTCCCTCGGTACTTACATCTTTGACTACATACTTCTCAAGATTTTCAACTGTCTTTTCCTTAAGGGAGCCCTAGAAGAAGAAAAAAGAAAACAGAACTAAGAAAAGAGGTTTTATTTACTTAAAAAAATTTTTTTCTTGCTCTGTAGCCCAGGCTAGCCTTGGATTCATGATCCTCCTGCCTCAACCCAAGTGCTGACATTACAGAACCAGGATATTATGACCACCTCACAAACTGAGTTTGCTTGTCTGAGACAATGCCTCACTTTGTAACCCATGCTGGCCTTGAACTTGTGCAGTGTCTGGGATTGTGGGTCATGCCACCACATCTGACCTATAAATCTGTTCTTAACTTTAACTAGAAAACTTGTACTTACTATCAAACAAATAAATCTGTTTACCAAAATAAAAAATGTAGATAAAGGAAAAAAGGCTTTAAATATAAAATTATTTATATTTTAAATCAGAAATTAAAAGACATTTCATATTTTATTGAACAGATTATAGTAAATATAAATTAAGTACTAACTATCTGATGTTATTAGTCAGGTGGGAGTCATTTAGATAAAATTTAAATGGGCTGTTGTCCACAAAAGATGTTAAGTATAATTTCATATACTAAAATCCTTCTCAGTAAGTTTCAGAAATGCAAACAATAAAATCTAAAAGCTGAGGAAGACTGTCAGCATGGTCAGACAAAAAACAAATGGAGGCAGCAAATTTCCGCCGGGTGGTGGCGCACACCTTTAATCCTGGCACTCAGGAGGCAGAGATAGGTGGATTTATGTGAGTTGGAGGCCAGCCTGGTCTACAAGGCAAGTGTCAGGACAGGCTCCAAAGATAATGAAAAACCCCGACTCGAAAGCCAAACCAACCAAACAAAAAAAGATTTTAAAAATGTTTTATTTTTTCTGTTAATGTGCATGAGTGTTTTGTACTTAGTACACAGTGTGTGCACATCTGTGCACAACACGAGACCTGGGTCACATCCCTGGCGCTGAGTTGTGCGTGATGGGAACTGAGCTGAGATCATCTGCAAGAGCAGCCAGTGCCCTCATTTCTCAACCATCTCTCCAGCCCATCTCCCCTTTCTTTTTAAAAAGGAGGAACATTCTGCTCCATTTCCACTTGCAAGGAAGCAGCTTCCAAATACCTTGTAATGGACCCAGTCGACTGCATCCCTTACATCCTGGAACATGCTCCGGTAGGACATAAAGAGGTCCCCTTCTTTAAATCCTGTGTCACAACTACAGAAAAATGAGAAGAACATGACAGGGAATCAAAAAGCAGGAGTAAATGCAAGGAGTGACCAAACTGACCAAGGGACCCAACCAAAGGTGCCAGCCACATCACGAGGTATAGGCTGCGCTTAGCTAGGAACTGCTCCCTAACCAAAATTCATTTGAGTATTAGACATGGTCAGGATATTGTACAGATGGAATATAGTAACTGTGAGTGAGTGCGAGGTAACAGAACAATATACTGGATGAAAGTGAAAGGCCAAGTTCCCAAAATAGCAAGTTTGCCACTTAGAACAGGTTCTCACTGGACAGACATTTAGAACATAGGTTCTTCCACCCGGACCTTCCTGGCTTTGTCACGAGGTACCAAGGTGATGTTCATTTCTATCTGTGAGTCAGTTTTCCACCAAGTTTAGTGCCCTGAGTGGGTAAGGCCTCAGGTAAGAAGTTAGCAGACTCGCATAGAAGGTTCATCAAGCAATGCCACACAACTCCCCCAAAGGGAAAAGCTAACCTGTGCAAGACTAGAGCAAAACTTTGCTTCAAGAAAAGTAAACAATATCTGTTCCTGGATGAAATCTTGCTGGGCCTGGGAATGAAACTAAATGGCCATCCCTGAATGGCTCCTGGGCAGCTGCTGTGAAATGAGTTGGGGGGTTTTAGTGTAATTCTGCTTGGACAGATCATCATCACACAAACCTCCCACTCAGTTGTCACAATTAGCACCTCTGCTGGCGTCTTCATTCCCAGGAGAAGCCAATCAGAAGTGATCCCTTCCAAGCACGGCTGCAGCACACTGGCAAGGACAGGGGCCGTGTGGGAGGTGAGAGCCTGCATGGAGCTGCTGGTGCTGTCCATCTCTCAGGCTGGCAATGTAGCATCTCTCACTAGCACTAAATTCACTTCAGAAAAGCAGAAAAGACCTACAATGGCCAGTTCTCTAAAACCCTGTTCATTAATTAAAAAATCAACTGGATAAAGACAACTGTAGTATAAACATACCTGGTATATCTTGGACAATTAGTAAAAAAATCTACTAGGCAGGCCAACAGGTAGGTTTCTGAAAAATGAAGAACAGATATTAATCAGCTGGAAGTAAAATGATGAAGCTGATTTAATTAGCTCCTTGAGTAACAACAAGTGTTCCTGGGAGGAAGGGACAGCATGGATAGTAAGCAGAAGGTAGTCTACCTGGAAGATTGAATAGTGTGTTCAGAATGTAAAACCTTTCAGTGTCATCTCGCTGGATAAATTTATTTGGATACTGCTCTCTAGTTTCTGGTCTGCAAGAAAAATTTAAGAATTAATTGACATATAGAAGTTAACATGTTAACTCTAAGAAATAGTCACTATTCAAAATTTTATTAAAACATTTTGATGGTTATGTGTAAGAATGTTCAGATATTAAATCTAGGCAGCTATTAACAGGCTCAGGTGAGCCCTCAAAGAGCCCTCTTCGAAGACAACACCCAGGCTCTCACTGTGCTGGGGGGGTATATCAAGAACACACAGCCCAACTACAACAAAGCTGTGAGGAACTGAAGACTAAAGGAGCTACTCAGTTTAAAGGCGTGTGCCATCACCACCCATCAGAAAACAGCTCTTACAGGTGACTCACCCTTGTACTCCCAGCCCAGTCGACACAGTGAGCTCCAGGCCATCCAGCCCCACACAGTGAAACTGTCTCAGAACGAGTAAATAAACAAAAGGATTTAAAGTAGAAGAAAGGGAATGTAAAGAGAGGGGATTCATGTAGGTGGTTGGTATACTGGCCTCTGTCCAACATTTAGTGAACATTTGTGCTCCTGAATGGAGGTTGGAACAAAAAGCATGTCTTCCTTAGCCCATCTGAGATGATTTTTTTCTCTGTTCCTCTACTGAAAGCAGACCTACTTGTGAACTGACATTCTTAACTTGCAAGGCCCAGTTCATATCAGTAAGGTGCTTGTCACCCAAAAAGGAGGGACTTGTATTAAGAACCCAATACCCACGTACATGCCAAGCACTGCGGTATGTACCTGTAACCCTATCCATGCTGAAAGAAGGGTGGAGACGGGGTGAGCTCCAGGGACACTCTAGCTCACAAAATAAGATGGGGTGACTAAGAAAGACACCTGCCATCAGCCACTGGCCTGCACATACACACAAATTCCCACAAAGAAATGGGAAAGCATTAATAAAAATTCATAAATACAAAGAAAACCAAATTTAAAGCTTATTCTTATGTACAAGTTAGGTAAATTCCTATTTAAGTTACTTAACTTCAAATGGTATGAACTCCAGTTAGGACCAAAAAGTCATACTAGAGTTTCTTGGTTTAGTCACTTTGTTTATCATCCTTATAAAACAAAATTTCTAATACAAAGAGACCCACTAGAAAGCCACCTCTCTGGCCTTCAAGCAGAAGCAAGTAGCACTAACAGGCCCTCACTCCAGGTCAGTGAGTGACAGTCTTTATACAAACATAGGTGCAATTACAATTCAAATTGAGAAATGCGGTTAGTCATGACATTTCCAGTCAGGGAAGACAACGCATCATTCATAACAAAGGGACAGTCTATGTGGAGTTCGAAAGAAAGCAGCTACAATACTGAACACCGGTAACTTTTCGTGACCTATTCCCCAAGCTAGCAAGGAATGACAACGCCAGACGGACAGATGTCTCCTCCAGCCTCATCACACTGCACTTTAACACCATTTCCCTCCATGTTGGTTTTCTCTGAGATACTTCCTTTAGATTCTAAGGACCGCATTATGTTAAGCTTGAATGAATCTACAAGTGCTCACAAATGACTTATTGCAGAAATACTATCAAGAGTGTTTCCAAAGGAGCTACTTTGAAGCTTAATTGGGGGAACATAGCAGGTAAATGGATCTCATTATTTGTTTGAGATAACATTTCATGTGGCCTAGACTGGCATATGTGGCCAAGGATGCTTGAACTCCTCATCCCCCTTCGAGGAGGAGAACAGATGGGAACACTACCCAAGCTTAGGCCTGAGCATCTTGAATTAGTAAGTTTGGTTTGAACAAATTTATTGAACAGCTTCTCTTCATTTTTTTTTCTCTACCTTCTTTTCAACTAACAGTCACAGCAATAAAATCCCCCTTCAGACATAAATCAAACCCTGGGTAACAGTGACAGTATCTGTAAATGAATGAGCTTAGGTTGGTGACCCTACATGTAATCATTTTCCTTCTAAATCCTGCTTCCTCATACAAAATCACCCTTTAGGGCAACAGAAGGTGCACACAGCCTTCCTGGCCTCCTCAGAGAGGTCATTCTCACTGAGACATCTTTGAACCTGTGTTATGTAATAAAGCCTGCTGAACAGCAATGTACTGTGTGCTTCAATGTTAAGTGGGACACAGCTATGGCTTCAGGTTTACAGGATGTTCTGACACAATTTCAGTTAGTTTATGCCTCTTACAAGTATTTGTTAAAAACATTGTCTTTTTAATTATCCCAACATGACTGTGACGACCACTTTACCATCAAGAATAAATCACTCAGAAAAATTACATGAAAGCATAATATGTTTTCATTTCAAGGTGCAGCTATGACTCTAATAGTGTCAAATTAGATGTATGTATGTGTGTATACATATATACATGAGTGTTCTGTCTTCATGTACATATGTATATATATGTATCCTGTGCATGCTGAGTGCCTGTGGGAGCCTGAGAAGGGCATCAGATCCCCTGGAACTGGAGTTATAGATGGTTATGAGCCCCCGTGTGGGTTCTGGAAACTGAACCCAGGTCCTTTGCAAGTGCAACAAGTGCTCTTAGTCACTGAACTATCTCTCCAGTTCCCAAACTGTTTGTTTCGAGATAGGGTCTCTATTATGTAGCCCTGGCTGTCCTGGAACTCACTGTAGACCAGGCTGGCCTTGAACTCACAGAGATCCACCTGCCTCTGCCTCCTGAGTGCTGGGATTAAAGGCGTGTAACACCACTGCCTGGCAACTGTGGGTTTTTGTTTTAAAAAAAAAACGGGATGTTTCACACACACACAAAAAGTAGATACTATATTTACTTCTTACTAGGGAAGAGACTCCCAAATTAGCAAAGACAGTGGAAATGTTACACAAATAGGCTATTTGGTTTGAAATCTCACCCTTCTTCTTCTCACTTCCCCTCCTCCTCCTCACACTCCAAGAAAACGCTATGCCATCCAATTATCTTCTACTGCCCCATCATCCCACATTTTTGTTTGTTTGTTTGGTTTTTCGAGACAGGGTTTCTCTGTGGCTTTGGAGGCTGTCCTGGAACTAGCTCTTGTAGACCAGGCTGGTCTCGAACTCACAGAGATCCCCCTGCCTCTGCCTCCCCAGTGCTGGGATTAAAGGCGTGCGCCACCAACGCCCGGTTTCTTCCCACCTTTTAAAAATTATTCATCGACAGCCCTGGCTGTCCTGGGGCTCATTACGTCTATCTGCCTCTGTCTTACAGTGCTAACATTTAAAGCGTACACCACCACACCCAGCCTTTCTCCCAATCCCTAAGATGGGTCTTGTTATATTACCCAGGCACTGATAGAACTGAATTCAAGAGTCTTCCTATCTCAGCTTTCAGAGTAGCTGGTACCAAGGGCAAGTGTTCTTGTGCCCTTGGTACCAGTTCTTGTATTTGGGGTCCCTTGTATTCATAACCCTGTGTTTTTAGATGTTTTCATTATATAAATGTCTGTAGATAGTCAAAGATTAAAATGTACTAGCTAACAAAAAAACTCAGTTGTTTAAATTGTGATATAGTTCAAAAATTTTCAAATGACTTTTATATGCATATCTCATCTGTATTAAAATAAAAATAAAAATCTTAAAACTTGGGCTGGAGAGATGGCTCAGTGGCTGTTTTTCCAGAGGACCCAGGTTCAATTCCCAGCTCACAACTGTCTGTAACTCCAGTTCCAAGGTACCTGACACCCTCATGCAGGCAAAACACCAATGCACATTTAAAAAAAAATATCTTAGAACTTAAAATAAGTCAAAACTGTGCTATATAGTTAAAAGATACTGAAACAAACTACTAACTAAATAACCTAACTATGCTTATGTAAAGGGATGACTCTTAAAGAGGGAAGCTATTTCACCCATAGAGACAATGTCATACCACTTAACTACTAAAATACCAGAGTTAGGCTAAGGAGACAGCATAGCTGGTAAAGTACTTGCCATTAAGACTGAGAACCCACATGTTAAAACAAGGGCACAGAGGTACATACCTAAATCCCAGCTCTGGGGAGGTGGAAACTCTAAATTCTCAGGGCTCAAGGACCAGCTATCCTAGCCTACTTGCCCCCAGTCCCTGAGACTCAGTCTCAAAAAACAAGGTAGAAAGGGCCTAATTTAGAACTTACCATGCAAGCCTACAACTAAATCCAAGCCCTGGAAGGAAGTCACAGTGGAAGGAAAGAACTAACTTCCAAAAGTTGTCCTATGGCCTTCTCTTACACACACTGTGGTGCATGTGCAAACTCACACATCCATGAACACACTAATAATAAATAACTTTATAAGATGGACAGTTCCTGGTGAATGACACCCAAGATTCTCATTCTCTCTCTCTCTCACTCTCTCTCTCTCTCTCTAAGAGGTTAAGAGTTCTTTGTACTCACCCTCTTATGAAGTTAAATCCATGTGCACAAACCAAGAGGTTTCCATAGGCATCAACTTTCAAAAGATTTCCGTAGAGTGTGTCAAAGACAAGTCCTCTACATGAAAATGAAGAAATAGTGCAAGGTAAGACACGCAGCAATCTTATTCACTCCACCACCACACAAGAATTTCAGTTATGTCCCCCAACCAAAATAACCATAGATGCTCAGTAAAAAAATAAGTCATAGACCTGGAGACATTGCTCAGTTATACTGCACTCGCTGACTGGCACAGATGGATGGTGGGAGGAAGATGTCTGTCAGAGCAACTAATAATACTCAGTCCACATATGTATGCAGCCACAATTGTTTTACATTAGGAGTGAGGGCTCACCCAAACAAGCATAAACTACCCTTCCTCTTAAGACAGCTGCTATCTTTCCACAGTCCTTAAGTTTCTTTGGACACTGACCTGCCTAGATTTCCCCATATCCAATGCTGCACATGGGGCAACTATGATAATATTTCTTTTTTTTTTTTTGATATCTCAAACAAATGTTTTTCATAATCTTAATTCTGCCCTATCAAATCCAGAAAAGCAAACTGCAAAAGGTTCTTCCTACCACATTAAATGTGCTAGCAGAACACACAGCTGCCCTCCAGAAGTCAAGAGGGGCAGGGAGAGTGCCTGGCGTCATCTTCAGCCATAGCAATACCCTTTCTTACCCTCAGTGGGGCTTCAAGCGCACACGGAGCAGGGCAGTATGTGCTGGGGAGTCTGAAGCAGGAGGAGAGAGTTTGAGGCCAGCCTGGGATACACACACTGCTGAGAGAGAAGAGGGAAGAGCATAGGGAGAGAAAAGAGGACGGTGAGAGGAAGGCAGAGACAGGAGGAGACAGTGGTGTGATGACTGAGTATACGCATGAAAAGTTCTGGTAATTTTAAAATCAATACTAACATTTATTTTTGCAGGATTAGGGATAAGTTTGGAATTTATAATTTTGGGACGGGGAAGTAATCTTAATCCAAAATTATTTTGGAAATTTACCTGGTAGGGAATGTAGAATCATATGCAAAACTGAGCAGCTCCTGAGGATAGCCAATGGAAACTAATCGCTCCACAGTAAGCTCGAAGCCAAGGGACTCATATTCTGGAGACTTGTACACTGCACAAAGAGGAGTTCATGAGTCAGCAGAAAAAACAGCAGTGCAAGAGAGACCAAATGAATGAGTCTCTACTCTTTCCCAACTCCCCTTTTCTTCTCCTTCAAACCTTTTCTCTATTATACCCAGTAATTACAGAAAATCAACCGTTAGCAGAAACAGATTCTAGCAGAACAGTTACAGCCTGAAGTAAATGTTTGTCCTGTATCTACTCTTTGACTCCCACAATTTAGTGCTGGGAAAAAACCTAATTGTACACAGCTATGACATTAACTATGAGACACGAGAGGTGTGTGTGTTTTTTGAAAGCCTTATTATAACTGATGCAGTAACATTCAGAACAAGCTTTTCACTCTTATCCGTGTATACTTGAATTTTAGCTTTGTCTGGTAGTTGCTCTGTGGTCTTCTAATCAATGCATCTGCTCTGCCTGCCAAATGTTATCAGCCCAAGCAACTGTTAGGCTTAACATTACTATAACCTTTAAAACCATAACTGACAAGCATCACTGCAAGCAAACCGTAAGAAAACATATCCAAGACAATTAGGAAAATGTAGTCTGTGAGCCAGGAACTAGACATTAAATTGTGACTCATCAGATATGGTCACTCTGGTCACAACAGGTACATAGCGCAGTGTTATGTAAACTATGTGCTTCTCCTAATCTGCTTCAGAAACTGTTTATTATTATGAGCCAAACATGGGCTTTCCTCTACTATGTTTGAAATTTTACACAATGAAAAAACTTGAGTTATCACTGCAGCTCAACAATAAAATCTAACTCCTTCAAATATTTAGGTTAGCAACATTTCTCATCTCTATCTAGGAGCAAGTCAATCATATAATAAATACCTGTTAATTTCCTAAATGCCAGCTAAGACAAAGACATCCACCCAGTTCCTAGTCTTACAAAAACTAGTCTCAACTACAGTTACCATGTTGTCATAGCTCTTCCAGCTCCTATTGGATCTGCCCTTCATTTGCCTACTTAAAATGCTACTGTTAGGTCTACAACCAGAACAAACTGCTGAGGTGCCTATTAACGTATCAAAGTAGACTCTGGTGGCCAGTCTCTCTCAGTCCAAACTCCCACCCCGAACTCGCCAGCCCAGGGACTGAGCTGGGCCCCCACCACCTTCCCCAGCTGCTCTTCTCTATATAACCCAGCCATTTTGGCTACTCCAACTTTTTTTTTTTTTTTTTTTTTCCTTTTGGTCTCTTGGTCTTCTGGCTCTTGACTCCAGGTTCCTCTCTCTTTGGATCAGCTGACAGCTCATTTTCACTCTGGGTTCTTCCAGTGCTCTCCCTTGTATTATAATAAACCTTCACCTCAATCCTTAGGAGCAGTCATGTCCTTCCTTCCTTCATTCATTCATTCATTCATTCATTCATTCAGATACTAATACTTTAATGCAGCAACTGAATGGCCAAGACAAGAAAGGCAGCAAACATCCAGATGCTTTCATACCTTTAAAACTCACAGCATAATGATGTGTCATTATTTCTAAGGGTCAAGTTGAAAAAAAGTTTTTAAAGGCTGGGCTTTGAAAATCGTTTAGTGCACATCGTTAGCTACAAATGCTACAAATTCTTGAGGAGACTGCGGAGCGGCAGCTCATCAGAGTCATGCAAGCAGCCTTGTGTTGCTGCTGCCTGAGGGAATAACGACTGATGCTAACTAACACTGACTCTGGATGTTTTCAAAAGCAGCTGGACTTCTTTCCTGCCACGGTGTCTACTGTACCCTCCCTTTGCTGTATCACGGCAAGGCCTTCAATGTATAATCCAAACTGTATGCTGTGCCCGTGGCAGAGGAAGTACTGCACACCCACTCGTACAACAGAGCCTGGCACTCCTGGCACTGACTGATTTACACTGAGAAAAACAACAAAAACTAGCATTCCTCACCTATCTTCTCCAGCCACAGTGGCACCCCAATTCCATTTAAAGCACCTTCAGATAAAATTTTTAAAAGCCCAGATTACTTTCTGTCCTAATCAAAATCCTACTGACTTCAAAAGATATTTAAGGAAACAAAATATTAGTTGGCCTTTTTTCTTCTAGGATCTGGCCCATGTGAAATAGGGTTCAAGAAGGATAATTTGCTGAATATGCTCTCAAATTGAAGATAAAAACTAAACCCACTCTCCCAAACTCATCCCTAAATTGACAATTTTCTGTGGTTAGTGAGTTACAATGGATTAATTTGTCACTGAAAATTATGTCCATGAGACAATTTGAACCAAAGGTCAAATTATTTTAACATTTTTATTTTTGTTAGCTACAAATGCTACAAATTCTTGAGGAGAATTTTTGTTATTAATTTTTAAATTAAAATATAATTATATAATTTCCCCCTTACCTGTCCTCTCTCCAGTGTTTTCTACCCACTTTGTCTAAAATTGATGGCCTCTTTTTTATTACTGTTGTTTGTATATGTGTGTGTGTGTGTATGTATGTATGTATATATGTGTATATATGTTTATATATATATATACACACAAATACATAAATATATAAGTGCAACCTACCGAGTCCATTCAGTGTGGCCCGTGAGAATAAGATTTCAGGACTAATTACTTTCTTTGTATTGGATATCACTCATGGGGCTATCCTCAGGAGCGGGTGACGCTCGACCAGCAGTCATCAGCTGCCCATGGGACCTGTGAGATTTCATACTTCTACATTAGCAGGCCTACTGATACTGTCACTGTTGAGGTCTTGTTTAGGCAGCTGTACTGTTGAAGCATCTATCATGTGTATAGCTTCCTGTTATACCTAGGAGACAAAATCTCACGAGTGAAAAAAATAAAGAAAAGTAATTCTAAACCCTAAAATAAGAAAAACCCAAAATACCTCATTTTTGTTGTGTTCAAAGGGCAGAACTTCTCAAACATTTAGCTATGGTGACTTTCTATAAACTCTACATTAGAAACACTAATTTTCTTTCCTCTAAGTGAGTTCAGGGCACTTCCAGAAATACAATGTATCCCCCTTTTTTCCTGACCTGGTGTACCGGAGTCCACCAGAACCAGAATTCTTTGTGTTGGGGTCTGTAACTGTTGCTATAAACTTCTAGATTATGTTGGCCATCGAAACGGAAGGCGGATGCCGAAGCATACTAAATATATTCCTCTGATTTCTTCCAACTGGGCCAGCACGGAGAGACTGCCCTAGTCTCCGGTGGGAACCGGTTCATCAAGTTCATCTTTGACAAGACTGTCTATTTCACCTAGCTCTACATGAATCATCGAGATGACAAGCTATTGACAGCTTCTCAGCTCATCGTTTCAACAGGACACACTACCAGGTCACTGAATCATCCCTAGAACCTACACATAACGTAGCCACAGCTAAAGAAACAAGACTGCAATGCACAGGGTAGGGCTTTAGATGCTTCTTCTAAGTGCCCCTTGGAAATAAACACATTTATTCTGACCTGGCTGCAAAATGTCCTCAAGTGTGTGCAGTGCTACCTTCCGCTAAGATAAAGCAGCACTCGAGGCAGAGGCAGGCACACCTCCCTGAGTTCAAGGCTAGTCTGATCTACATAATGAGACCCTGTCTCCAAAATAAATAAAAAGTTAAAAAATAAAAATTCAACATTTCCCACAACCCCCAAATCTGCCAGGCCCATTGAACTGGCCAGAGATGCCTGCAGAGACCAAGCCATCCCTTCAGACTTGCAGCTCCATGCCTTCCTGCAGCAGCAAAAGCTCTAACCTCAGTTTTTCTCACAAAACTGTATAAGTGAATACTCCAAAGCTTCGAGCCGCACTCTTACAACCAACTCCCGGTGGTTCCAACACCTGGCCAACGGTTCAGAGCACAGATCTCACATTAACTGCTTACTTATTCTCTGAGGAGATTCTGTGGCCTAGGCCAATTTACCCAAAATCTGAAGACAAAGAAAGAAATTGCTTTAAGGGCCAGAGTCCAAAAGAAATAGGAAAAAACAAAACAAAACAAACAAACAAACAAAACCCATCACCCTGCCTCAGCCACTAGGACAGCACACAGTGTTCTCAGGTTATGTAACAAGACTATAAAGAGAACAGCCAAAGCTTTGAAAGTTGAAGCTACTGAGCGCATTTAAAGATATTCTTTACTCAATAATCTGCGAGGAAAAACAGCTCTTCAAAAATATCTGCACGCCGTGGGATGGAGCCGTGGCTCTGAGAGTAGAAGCTGTTCACCCAACCAAAGTGAGCTGACCGAGACCACGCTCCTTGGACTAAGCAAGTTTCTGCCAAGAGTCTGGAATACTTATGTATCTTTTACCATTGTCACCACGACACACTGTGTAGTAGCTTAGTAGATCTTAGAAAAATAAAGGGCAAACCTCTACAGAGGTTCTAGCCCAGCAGAGGACTGCTGCCAAAATGAGAACTCACATGAGGCAGATGCAGGTAGTGTGTGCCACTCCAGTCTTGAAGGAGTTACACTGGCTCTCCTGTTAAAAACAAAACAAAGCAACAAAACAAAACAAAACAAAACAAAAGCTGGTTTTAAAACTCTTGTGATGAGCTGGAATGGAGAGACAACATTTGGAAATTGGCATTTACAGGAGTTACCACTGCCCTCCAATCTAGATGCCTCCAACCATCACTAAAATTAACTGGCGACCACAAAATACAAGCATTGAGAAAAAAAAAAAAAAAAAAAAAGGTAAGTAGTGTGTATTATTTCTTTTCCTGGCACCCTGCATTAGAAACACAAGCTAAGTCTGAGAATAGAATTTTAAGCCAAAAGAGAGTTTTGTTTTCTTTAGCAGCTTTCAGGTCACTATTACAGAAACAGACTGGTAAGCGGTACTTAAGCTGGTCTACAGCATGCAGGAAGTTAAAAAAACAAAACAAACCCAAGCAGCCCCATCCTGCTCTCAAGGGCCACCTATGCTAAGACTCCCTGTGCCAATTTTCCATCTTCCAACACCTACTTTGTCATCTTGATATTTATGTACCATAACAACTATATGCTGCTAAATCTAACAATGTCTGCA